TTTCCATTGTGTATGATCACTATTGCTCTGAACAGTGTTTAATGTTATATAGATACACACATACATATAATTACTGTATGCATATATTGATTGATTTTTGTTTAAAAATGAACCGTCTGTGCAAGTATGTTAAAATTGTTTCTGTAGATAAACTTAATGATGACTGTGACGTGTAAGCATCTGATGAGAAGGCAACGAAATAAACAATGATGGTACCACTTTATTCTGCAAAACCACTGTTTTTCTTGCTTTATTCAAATTCATTAAGGGCAATAAATGTTTGAAATGTCTTAGTTGAATTTAGAACATAAGTTATATAAGTTAAGAGAGAAATTCAAAACTGTAAATAACACAGTTTACAAGAGTGAATAAAAAGTAAGTTTAAACTCCTTAACCCAATTATTGATCGACTCAAGGTATTCACGAAAACTGGCGACAACGACAACAATAACAGAAACAACAACACGAATAACACACGAAATATGAGACATCTTCAATACACACTGAAATCAACAACAACAACAAGCAGAATAATCATAATAATTACTCAAATTTTCCACTCTAATGCCTCATCTCATCTATTCATCACATCGAACAAAAAAAGCAGAAGTTAGTGATCTGCTCAAATGAGCACTGAAGTCTTACAGATAATCGAAAAAGAAAGTAAGAGGGAAAGACATATTTGAGAGGAATAAGAAAGAAGTTCTTACTTCGTGTCTTCAAAACTCAACAACCACTTGAACTTGAGAAGAGAAAAAAAGTATAAAGGAGAAAAAGAAAGGAGTCACTTGTATAATGTCTTCTTAAGTTACAATAAATATGCCTTACACTTGGATTTGTTTTTCCCGCTTCGTTGTTTTAATATTGTGGTTTATTGTTATTCAACTGTGAAGTGTTCAAGACATAAGGTTTTGTTTAGCTGATATCTTTAAAAGGAATCATCTAATTGTTTGTTAGAAGCACAAATTAGCATTATTTTATTTACTTATTATGAGGAGATAGAAGTCTGAGAGTGACTTGATTGCCTATCTTCGCTAATTGTAGAGTTGTAGTCAGTTGCTATGGTGATTTGATAACAAGTTATATTTTTTGTGGGCTTATTAGGCTTCTTCTACTTCTTAATATTATCAGCGGCATTAAATCCTTAACCGCGTTACATTTGCTGCCATTTTTACCAGAAGAAAACTCGCTTGATACTTAAATCTGTACAATATAAACATTGCTGGTATATTTTGGCGTAATTATTAATTTAAAACGATTAGTTCCCTTTATGAATTTAGACAAAGCAATAAGAAGACGTAATTTGTCTGAATCGTGTGTGTAATGTATTCGCGCAACACACTTTTCGAACAATCTAATCACACACTAACTTGTCAAAGGAATATACATGAAATTAATAAAGAGTTAAGAGGTGAGAAAATAGACTTAGGCCAAGTTAAAAGGACATATTGAAGGTGAAAATAACAATGGAAGTCACTAAACCAAATAGCAGAGGTAATAGTACATCTACGCTGGCTGGTATCAAGGTTTAGTGTGATGACTAATTGTTGCTTTGAACGCATAAATGTGGTTCAAACTTTCTAATTGCTAGGGCTTCCACAAACTTTAGGATACGCACTCCTCCAAAACAATTTTCAGAGATAGGTTTAAAAGATGTGTTCACGTCAATTTTATGTTCTGTCTCTATAATATGTTTCGCAATAGAGGAACTAGATCTCCTGTTCTCACCATTAATGGGTTCTGCAGATTCTATTTGTTTCTGGAGCCATTTAAGAATATGCTCTGAAGCCAGCCCTTACTTGCAGAGATCAATGAGTCCTCCCTATATGTGTGTGTCCACACGTACATTGAAATAGGTAAATACAGTGGGATGTGACATCATTTTTCTCATGTTCTAAGTGCTAAGATGAATATATTGGCTTCACATTCTAAATTATTATGATATTAGCGGCGTAGAAAGTTTTTTTAACAGCAGCGTTCAATCTTTGTCTAGTTATCAAGCTGCTATGATCACCCATATAGAGTAGCTTGATGTACACGTCTTTCTTTGTAACAAGTTGTAGAGTGGATCTTGGTGTTCCGACTACTTTATATCTCCTGATCAACTTGTCTGGATAATTGTTATCAACTAGAGTTTATGTCAACTTTCTTCCTTCCTCATCAAGTGTGTGTCTTCAGTACAGATTCCTTGGGTTCTACTGAAGAGACACCTCGCCCACCAAGACTCTTTTGTACCAAACAAGGCAGAAACTGTGATAACGAAGATACTATCCTGTCCAGGTACATTTTCTATAAATAGATATTAATATTGACCCGTGAAGCCATCGACTAAGCGATATGTCTAGGAAAGATAAATGACTATCTTCCTCTTCTCTATATGTAAGTGATATGCTGTTCTGAACTTCATTCATTCGATTAAAATTTCAGGTGGCAGAACACGACTTATCACTGATGATTACAATATCATCTACATACCTTCTATAAAGTGGCACATTTTCGATTAAATCCTCCGATAAATTCTCAATGTACGACATATAGATATCTGCTAAAAGGCGCGCTGACGGACTTCCCATAGCAACACCATCAACTCCGGTGAAAATTCTGTACATTATATAAACACACTGCTCAGAATAAAGCTACTACTATTGTTTTTTTTCATTGTTCATTTTGTTAGTACTATAGTTTGAATGCTTGCCAGACATGCACCCATAGGCCTAAGTTTGATTCCCAGCTGGTGTACTCAGAAACTTCGATTAGTCGATAGTGAGCCTAGAAAAAAAGAGGTAAGATTAGACATGAAGCTGGCAACATCATCACCACTACTATTAGAACTTCAACGCTAGATGCTTCTAAGCGCCAATGTTCCACTCAGAAGGCGCGAAATGAAAAGATTTATTGTCTTTTGAAGCTTTTGAATATTCATCAGAATATAAGATTACTTGGAATTTAATTGGTGGATGGCAACTAGCCATGGAATTCAGCTTAATGCGCATGGTGTTTCCGCCGAGGTCATCACTCGCTGGGTAATGCAGGTACATCCAGCTGGCGACCGAATTCCAAGTAGGACGAAACGCGCATCAAGTTGGATTCCACTGCTAGTTACCGTCCACCAACTGAATTAAATTCTAATTACATGCCCAAACATCGTCGAAGCATCTGCACAAGAAGCCGACAGACATGTCAACCTGAGACCAAGCACTTCGGTCCAATCAATCGACGGGAAAATCGAAAATTCAATTAAATCTGGTCATTTGGTTTAAAGCAGACACGCTAAGTTGCCTCAAGGTCAGATGGGGACAAAATAGCTGCTGTCATTACATCAAAACATAATCTATTCTTCGACTTTTATCCTATGCTAATTATTATTATTTTTGGTGGAAGGGTAAATGAAGGAAGATGGTCAAACAGTCTCGGAAAGTAATTATTATTATTGTTGACCTAACTAATGCAAACGAAGATTAATGAAGAAAAGTTCGATTATTTCTCCTTTGTTCAACTAGTTCTACCGTTATTATTATTATTTTGCTGCCCGAAATCTAATCAGTTCAATGAATCAATCATGATACCAGCCAGCTGTAAGCACAACATAATATTATATATATATATATATATATATATATATATATATATAGTGATACACTATTTAAGACGCATATTGTCTGCCTCAGGCAATCTCTAAATAACTCGAGTCTATAACACGAAGAGAAGAAGAAGAAGCAGAATATAAGATTATCTTGGGATAACAAAAGAGTGTGAGGAGAAAAAAATGTGTTGCAGGTAGGATTTATTGATTTTCATTCGAATGGGGTATATGAGCAGCTATATTTCTGTGAGTTAACAAAAAAATTCACATTGAAGGAGAGAAAATTCTCAACATATCCACTTCAACAATTGGGACTAAATTAAGATTATGGGATGTATGTTCGGTGTGTCATGATTTAAAGCCATGTGGTCGGATGTACTAGACTGCTGTTTCCTTCAAGTTTGGGACTTTTCGGTAGTAAGCCCCTCCCGATCCAGTTGTTAGTGCTTGAACTCGGGACCTTCCGGTTGCAACTGGAATCCAATCTAATTGTAAACCCATCAAACTCAACTTCTCCTTGGAGTTCTAGTGGGAAGTCGTGACCAGTGCGCACGGCCCACCAAGTCAGGTAAGGGATACGTCACTCTCCTATGATACTGGTTGATATTTACGCTATACATCACGAACCGGTAGAAGTTGGATGCTAGTGTCTGAATCGTCTACGACCTTGTCCTGTAACCGACAGGTCCTGAATTGAAACCCTAGTGGGTGAGTATTTCTGAAGATTACCGAAATAGGACGAAACTGTTGGAATCTACTAGTCTCCTTCTTCTTCTTCTTCTTCAAAGTATTCGCAGATAAAGATTTTATGTCCCTCATTGCTATTTACCCCTTCGAAGTAGACGAAGTTAAAGGGCAACCGTATTGTCTTTACTTGACCAGTTTTATCAATATTATCAAGGCGGATTCGAATTATGCTGATGCAACTATTTACTAATTTATCCTATATCGGAATGTGATTTTAGACAGCTAATAGTATTCATATTACAGACAAACTACTATTTGTTATATAAGTATACATCTTTCTTTTTTTAAAACACGTAGTATGCTAGAATTTAATTTGCTTGCACTTCAATCCACTGTAAAAGTTCCTTACACATACCTGCCTCGAAAACTTCATAAAGCATTTTAATTCATTTCTCATGGGATAAATCAACTAGAATAGCAAATAAATGAAACACGAATGATCGTACTTTCATCTCAGGACTAAGCTGGAAGTTAGTCATTGTGGAAACTTGATGCTTTAAAAATGAGAATAGGAGAATGAAACCTCTTCCTAGTCCTATTTTTGAGTACCCTCCTATTACCGCTGTATTTGAACTCCAGACTGTAGCATAGAATATATTATTACATATATATTCAAGGCTGTCTACTGTCACCAATGATCTTCCTGATTGCAGTTGATTGGATAATGCGGCAGACAACGGCAACCAACGAGGGAACAGGCATAAAATGGACCGACACAAAAGCCTTGGAGGATTTGGATTTCGCCGATGATATATGTCTGATTTCCCACAAACTGGAAGATATGCAAGTGAAAAGCAACAAATTGGCAGAAGAAGCAGCAAAGATAGGACTTCAAGTGAACATAGACAAAACAGAGGTAATGAAGATTCCTGGCCAACATCAACAGCAACAACCGACAACAATCAGCATAAATGGGAGGAACCTGAAGGAAACAACTTCTTTCACCTACCTGGGAAGCATCGTCTCAACTACAGGAGGAACTGACGAGGATATCAAAGCCAGAATCGGAAAAGCAAGACAAGTTTTCATTTCTCTCAAGTCTATGTGGAGGTCAACAGCACTCAGCATGAAAATGAGAATAAGATCCGTATTTTCAACTCCAATGTGAAGTCAGTGCTACTCACTATACGGATCAGAGACTTGGCGTGTCACAAAGAGCAGCTCAAACAAGCTACAGACCTTCATTAACAAATGCCTTCGCTCAATACTCAAGATCAAATGGCCGGAGAGGATCAGCAACAAAGATCTCTGGGAGCGAACCAACCAGGAACCGATCGTGAAACAAATAGGCAGGAAGAAATGGAGATGGATTGGACACACTCTGAGGAAACCAGCAAGTGACATCACTAGACAAGCCCTCGAGTGGAACCCGAAAGGGAAGCGACGAGTTGGTCGTCCAAGGGTGACCTAGAGGAGATCATGTGAAGAGGAATTGAAAGCGTGTGGGCAGACTTGGAGCCAGGTGAAAACTACAGCAGAGAACCGAACGCAATGGAGACGCATACCTGAAACCCTATGTTCCTCTAGGAATTAAAGGAAATAATAATCATAATATAATAATAATATATTCTTGTTTGCTGGATCCAGGAGGAGAGTTTAGTCATATTTGATACTCGTCAGGCGGCTATACCTGCTGTCCAGTGAGTAATAACTTTCCCATTGGGATTTGAACTTAGTACCAATCGAATTTAAATAGTGGATGGTGACCAGCAGTGGAATCCAGCTGGATGCGCATTTCGTCCTATTTGGGACTCGTCCGCCAGCTGGATGTACCTGCATTCCTTAGTGAGTGATGATGTTCCCACCGAGGCTGGAACCCAGCGCCCATAGTTTCAAATGCCAAAGCGTTATCCACTAGACCACTTGGGTGACGATAGCCACCATTGTCCACCAATTAAATTCGAATTACACGCCCAGACATCGTCGAAACATCTGAACAAGAAGTTGGCATGTCAACCTGACACCAAGCACTTCGGTCCAATCAATCGACGGGAAAATCTAAAATTCAATTGAATAATTAGTACCAATCGCTTCAGACAATAAAATATTGCTAATTCAGCCATTTCACTCCACAAAAGTCGACCATTTCTTGACGAATTTCAAATCACATACGTCGTTATAGAAGAGGCTTGGTGGTCCAGTGATCTAGTTGATAATAATAATTTAGCGTTTGGGTATGACACAGATTAGGTTTGAGTCTTACAGGGGCAAAAACACCTTCAATCATTCAGAATCATGTATATCCAGCTGGTGAGTCTGAACCTTGGAAAAAAAGTGTTCTCATGTGCCCTATCCTAATGTTAGCCACCTCGAAAACAATTAGCTTCGTGTTCATATTGGAGCGATTTCCATGGAGTGCAAAGGATAAAATGAAGCTCGTCAATTTGAAGATACTGTATTTTTATTCCCTTGCGTTCCGACTGGATAGTAGGGATTCGAACTTGAGCTTTGATACTTCAATAGCAGTGGCCACTAGCTTCACACCTAACCTTACGTCTTTACCGACCTTGCTACCGGCTAGGCGAGGTTCAGGAGTGTGTCTGTTAGCCGGGAATGGAACCCGTGGAGTACACACGTGGTTGGCGAGCATTCTACTGTTGCACCAACGACGCAAAAATGAAATGAATAATTATTGATTAGAAATAATGATCTTTTCAGCCGTGAATATTCCTGCTGTGATCCTCTATGCAAAGTTTATTGAAATACACACGAAAAGCTAATTATTCTTTGCCTGACTAGAAGGCAATTCATTAACAACCCTTCATTGTTCTAAATATAATTAGAAATTTTTATTACATGAGAGAATCTAGAAGTTATTATTACGATTATTATTATTATCAGTTTTGTTATTAGTGATATCATGCCATCATGAAAAAAAGAATGGAAGCAAAGGAAATGCAACCTCGTTCAATAAATATCGTTATATAATATATAGAAAATATAAAACAATAGCGTAAAAACCATTGATGATAGATTCTTCACATATAACCGTGATTAATCTATTCCCAGGCTAATCACATCCATATTGATGATGGGGATATTACGTCAGAGGTAGATCAATACATAATCGTACTGGTAGTGGGAGATATGCAGAACATATAACACCAGTGTTGATTATGAATGGAATAATATAGGCATTCATAACTAAAAATTTTTGATTTTTGATGCTACAGTTATTTATTACGTCCTCACGTCAGTGTTGAAGGTATCAATGAATAACAGTGTTAATTTTATGACTTCTGTATCAGTATGCGTGCATATCCAGTTGTATACCTGTGTGATATTTTAAGCGTACAGACACACGCACACACACAGACGTGCACGTACTACTTATATGTAGATTTAAGTAACAGTTAAGATTCGAGTGGAATTGTTCTTTATTCCCACTGGATCCTTCATCCCCCGGTGTGTTTCTTCTATTCTTTACAGGGATTTATGAAGGCAAGAACTATGAAATATCTTCGATTTCACACTGATATCTCCTGATATGGATGGACGGATGCGTGAAGAATCTTTTAATCCGATAATGGATGCTAATTCGCTCGTCTGAATCGAGTAATTATTGAATGATGTGTGGAAGAGGTAGAATAAGAATGAATAGTTTGGAGAAGAGTGTGACAACCCACGAAATTAGATAGCGGAAATAAGAAAGAAACTAACTGACTTAAGCGCTTAACTTTTAGTCATTTGGGTTCTTTTCGGTTGCAATCTGAAGTGAACATTATCAACAGCTCTCAAGCTGTGTAAATGTTGCTTGTAACCCAAGCCACACGATAATTCTGTTCTAGGTACGAAATCTAGTAAAAACCTTTAGCCACAGAGTTAGAGCTGTATGCTCAGAAGAAGTAACTGAAGATGAATTAAGCATTGTATATGATACCTTGATTGAAAATAACTATTCCGACAAATTCATCAAGAAAGACATGACAAAGAAAGCGGAAAAAGACTACTCACTATCCCGAAGCAACAAGCCTCTCTATATACAACTGCAATTCAAGGGCAATATACAAAGTGAAATAATCGCGAATAAATTAAGAAAATCAGTTCAAAGAACTTTTAATACTGGCGAACTTCACGTCTTATTCTCTACACGACCGATGGTGATTCCTCGACTGAAAGATGAAGCAACTAAACTATCCACTTCCGACTGAATCTACCAATTCAACTGCGCCTGCAGTGGAGCGAGTTATATCGGCCGTTGCTATAAGAACTTGATTTTTCATGCTCGAGAACATCTCCCAGTATGGTTAAGTAAAGGTGTACTGAAAACCATCAGCAGTTCGGTTGTTTACGACAGAGTACACATTCACTGTTTTTATTTGTCATAGGAATTGTTTAACACATACTGGACACAATATGCTGAACAAAGTGAACCTTCTAAATTGATAAACTAATAATACTTATACTTATATTAATAATAAATAGGTAATAATGTTGCTGAGAAGTCCCAGACTAGGACGAAAGAGCCGTCTCTAATCTTCATTGGTTCTCTGCCTGATATCAACTGGTGATGTAACTTACTAACAATCAAAAATGACAGGTGAAAAAACCAAAAAGTTGACAGAGGAAGGCACAAAGACAGGACAGGACCGCAGGCGAACACACAGTACACGTAGGTGGTAAAGGTAACCAACCAACTGACAGTGACAAAAAACAGCACCAATTAGCATCAACTTCTTCTATATGGGTCGAGAACTCTGCTCATGCGTCACAAAAGGCATCACTAACACGTTTCAGACTTCTATCAACGGTTGAATTCACTGGCTTTTTGTTGCGGAACAAATGGTCAACGAGGAGGAATTAATGACAAGAAACTCTGGGAATGGACCTCCGAGGTGAATTGGGCACATGTTGAAGAGAACGTCAAATGATTTCGCATATGGAATCTGAACGAAAAACGATGAGTTCGGCGGGTTTTGAAGTGGTAAAAGGGAGGAGATCGTATGAAGAGGAGATAAGAGAGTATGGGGAATCATGGCGCTAGCCCTCGAGGACTGTAAGGAATAGCACAAAGTGTAGAAGGGCTGTTGAATCCTTATATCCCACTCGGAACCCCAGAGGAATAATAATAACTCAACTTTTTTAATAAAATTCCTACTCATTACTTCCCTGTTGAAGTACAGATCTAAATATATCTTAATTTGATGGTAGTTTTATACCCATTTCTTCGTTTTATTTTCCGAACTTTGACGACTCACTTTCTGTCTTCCCGTTTTTCCTTTACATTAAAATGAGTGCACATATCTGTTATCGAAGGGGGGAGATGATCCGAAACCTCAAGTTTCTAACGGCTTAAGGAAAAAATGAAATATCAGTCAACTGACTTACTGTCTTTTGATTGGACACTAGTAACTAGTGTGATGTGTTAAGTTCTTTCTTTTGAGCAGACTGAATTCAGTAAGTGAGGTTTGCAATGTGGCCACCATTCTAGAAAGCTCGCAATCTCGGTGCGCATTGCTTTGATGATATTAGATGGTTAGAGGCAATCGGTCACAGGAAGCCCTACTTAACCTAGGTTTCGTGCTAGTTGTCACTCACCAGTCAGCAATGCAGGCGTATTTGCAACACTGAAGGAACTCATGTCCCTTCTGAGATTCGAACCAGCGTCACCCAGTGAGTGCTGCAGTTAGTCAGAGACGTTACCACTGAGCCAGCTATTCGGGCTTGCGATTGACCTGCTTTATGACTGTAATGGGTATTTTGATTGGACACTAGTAACTAGTGTGATGTGTCAAGTTCTTTCTTTTGTGCAGACTGAATTCAATAAGTGAGGTTTGCAATGTGGCCACCATTCTAGGTAGCTTACCATCACTCACTGTTTATCCACACCAACCAATGGGATGTAAAGAACACAGCATTTAAGTTCACAGAACCCTAGTGCTTAAATTCATTCAGATAAAACAGTTTGTAAAAGAGGCTGTTCAACAGAGAAGGCACTTATTTAAATTGCATTTATAGACTTTCCTTTAGGAACCTGTAGAGGTCTAAGATTCACAAGACTACCCGATGTCATGGTAATTAACAAAACTAGCAAGTCACCTCGTCTATTGATGATGAGAACAGTCAATATCATCATTAAGTTTATACGGTTTTCAAGGCCTCCGAAAAAAGAAGAAAAATC